GAAGAAGCGCCTGCGGAAAGTGTAGAAGCAGCAGCCCCTGAGAATGCAGAAGAAGCGCCTGCGGAAAGTGTAGAAGCAGCAGCCCCTGAGAATGCAGAAGAAGCGCCTGCGGAAAGTGTAGAAGAAGGAGATACAGAGAGTACACAGGATGCAGTGATGGATACTGTAGAGGAAGAAGTCACTGAGAAGGCACAGGATGCAGCAGTCGCCGAGAGTGCAGACGTTGACGCAACAGAGGCAATCCCGTCGACCTCAAAAGCTGATAATGTGGAAGCCCAAACAGGTGGAGGCAGCAACACACAAAACACCGCTGGTCAGAGCGGTCAAACTACTGAAGCGAAGGCCCCGGTAGACGATGAAGTAGAAGCCATTGCAGGTCCATCGGGAATGCAACCAAGCGATGACCTAAGCGGACAAGAAATATCGAACCAGTTATTGGACAGGTATAACCAATACTATGATCAAATTAGGGCCTTTAAAGACTCATTCTTATTCGCCGGAGTGCAAGATGGTCATGGAGGAGAAGTAGTCGCAGACATAGTGAAGAGGTGGTTAGGATTTTACGTGAAAAAGCAATTAATGGAAAAATTAAGAAATAATGATTACCAACTTTTGACTCCAAGTGATATAGTAGCAAGTCTGGAGGAAGCCCACATTCAGTTAGATCGGGACATTTTTAAAAAAGCAAAGGAATTTTTTTTTAAGGGATATGTAAAGTACACAAGAGTTGGTTCCTGCTCACTCAGTGTTCTCATGGATAAAAATTATTACTATGTTAGCAATGTAGGAGATTCAAAGGGATTGTTAATAAAAAAAGATTCTTTTGTTAGGTTAAATAATATACATAATGCCGGTGAATTAACAGAAAGGATGAGATTAATTCAGGAACATCCGGACGAAGAAGATGTGGTTATGTGTAAAAAGTCAATTAAAACTAGACATAAGAGGTGGTCTGAATTTGTTAACGCATGTGATGCGGCAAGTTTACAAATGCCTGACATTGGTGGACGATGTTATGTAAAAGGACGATTACAATGCACAAGGACTTTTGGAGATTTTTACTTGAAACATAAAATCTTTGCATTTGATTACCTTAAAAATAAATATGTTGTTAAGGAACCACACTCTTTTCCCTACATCTCGGCCATTCCAGAAGTACTTACAGTAAAAAGAAGTAACGATGATGAATTTCTCGTCTTGGTATCCGATGGCCTGTCGGATCACTTAACTGACGAAGAAATATACGACATCGTGAAGCAGTACAGCCATTCTGTGAAAAAAATGTCAAGGATTATGATTCAGACAGTCTTAATAAAGTCCGCCATGCACGCGCGCATGTCCGCCAAGGAACTCTTGACCATGATTCCCCAATACAGGAGAAGGAAGTTCTTTGACGATATGTCGGTCGTTGTCATTAAGTTGAAGTGAAAAAGTGAATAACCAAAGGAGCCAGAAGAGAGGTAAGGGACGAAGCAACCAAAACCGCCGCACGACCGAGGAAACGATTGCCATGATAAGCTTTAAAAAACCCGTCCCCCTCCTGTCTACCCCTGTGTTTTTTGTCATGTCAGATTTGTTTACCACACATAATATTTGTGGTTAAAATTCGTACTTTAAAATATAGACACACACACACACACATGGAGTTTTTTTTTTTGGCCTTTTCAAAATGCGAAGAATTCAGTTTTATCAAATATTTATATCCTGCGCGCAAGGACAAAAAAGAAAAAATATATATCTTTTATAAATATACGCGTACGCATATGCATGCACAGGCGCAAATGTGTCGTTATTTTATAACCCCATACTTTTTGTCATTTTTAATGTGATTTTATAAAGCTTTTAATAAGTTTTTAAATTTCTTCATTTTTTTTTTTTTTTGTTTGTTCCATTCATTCATTCAAACCGATATAAACTTGTAACAATATACACCATTATTAAGTTTTAATACCTGTACTCTTAAAAAAGCATCTACCGCGTGTCTGAGTCCCATCAGGGTAGGACAACCCAACCGTTCTCGGTGTCTCTTTTTTCTGTTCATTTCTGTTCCCACTTCCACCGGAATGCACACAGTGCCCTGTACACAGCGCGATGCGCTCTACAAAGACGTAATTTATCTCTGTTGGGTAATTTTTTTTAAAAGTCCACTTGAAAAAAAAAACAAGTGTCGAACTTCTTACTTCGCACGGGTGGCACCTGTTTAGGAGCTTTTTCAACCCAACTCAGGCTGCGCACACGCACACACACATATGCACTCCCCCAGGGGAAGTTGGCCCCAACGTCCTAACCCTTCTTCTTCCTCACTTTCCCTTTACCTTTCGTATCAGAATTTTTAACGTACACATAAATGTAATAAAGGAAAAACTTGTTGTACATAATTATGGACGATTGGGTAGAAGAAATTAAAAACATTTTTATTTTGTAAATGTTTTGAATATTACATTGGTTTATATTTAAGCTGAAGGAGGTGTCATCCCTACACTTGATATTGACAACGACCAGTTGGTAATGCCCGTTTAAATTTAGTGAAGCTTTATCTAGGTGGTTTTTCTCCTTTTCTGTTTTTAATCCTGCAAATGTATTTTTATATTTTAGGAGCTTCTTATCCGTCACTACCTCTACTGAGTAGTCCACGTTGTCGTCTGCCGTGGCTCCGAACATGCGTTTGAGAAGGTTCAGGTCTATGATGTCTCTGTAGTGTTCATTTGATAAACTTGCATTAGGGGTGCTACCTCCGGGGGGAATTCCTTCATTTACATCGGGGCTACACACACTGGCATTGCATGCGTCCTCGCGAGAGGCACTCTCCTTAGTTTCCTCACGTACATCGCTGCGCTTGTTATTTGCGGCGTCATTTCGCGTGTCCGCACTGGAATTTGCAACGACATTTGTAATGGCACCCGCACCAACAATTGAGACCCCGTGTGCCCTCTCTTCCCCCTCTGGAGTTTTCTTCTTCCTTTCCAGCACGTACAAAACGTTCTCCCCATTTATGCAAAGGTCTTGGGGGTCCACCCCCTCAACCAAGTTTCTTCTAAACGAGTTCACCTTTTCGATGATCATGTCGACATACATCTGGAGGAACAAACTCCTGTGTAGAATCTGCTCATCTGAGGTGGACAAAAAATTGTTCTCATGGAAGTAGCCTTGGTAGAGTAGGTGCTCATATGATATAAGTTTGAAAATATCAAAAATGTTTTCCCTCTCATTTTGGTGAAGGAACTTTTTTATTTTTTTCACTTTGTTTTTTCTGCGCATCTGCAGTTTGAAGTTTTTGAAAACGTCTCTTTTGAGTTTCTCCAAAAGGTTCCCCGTGCGGTGGGCGCTTCCCAAGTGGTCATAGAGCGGAGGTTTCTCAACCTTCTTCGCTTCTTCCCCAAGGACAGCTTCCCCCTCCATAATCTTCTCTAGCTTTTCATACACCCTAAGGAGCGGGCCCCCTGCGTTGGATGTTTCTTCCTCGATTGTCTCCCCACCGCGATTCTTACTTTCCCTAGTTTGCACAACGGCCTTGTTGTCCTTTTCTCCCTTTCCTTTTTCAGCAGACCTGTTCCTAATCCCCCTTTTTTCACTTCGCACGAATAAGAAGTCGAACAAATTGTTAGTAGTGCTCCTTGTGTTGTCTTCCTCTGTTGCCTCCTCCCCAAAAGTTTCCCCAACGGAGTTAACGCAAAACATGTAGCCGTAGCCATTCATGGTATTGTTTATGAAGTACCCGACATACAGGAACGGATAAAAGTAGTACACGCCAAAACCATTAAACATGTTATTGTAAAACTCTCCTATGTATATATTGACCTCCTTCAGGGGTACATATAATAAATTTTTTATGTTCGGTGTAGACCCTTGCTTGATGGAGTCCTTATCCCTAGACAGGGCATGGTGGATATTCATGTAGTAAAATAAGTTGTGAATATTTTTGTACTTTATCCATATGCCTTTTCTGTAATTGCCGTTTTGGAAATGCCCTACAAACATTTCGTTCGCTCTGATGTACTTTCCCTGGCCATGAAACATTATGCCTTTCCCGGGGGGCCCTTCCGGTCCCGAGTTGTCGGCAGAGGCGTTATTGGCAGCGGCGTCATTGTCAATGGCGTTATTCACAATGGTCATGCCTTTTCCCGCGTCATCATTGGTTTCCCCATGTGGGTTCCCATTTGTATCCCCCTTTTTGCTCCCATTTTTCTCTTTATTGAAAGTGGACCCACTCTCGGCAAGCGCTTCATCATGGCTGGGTTCGTCTTCTAGGATATACTCGCCGACGTACAGCGTGCAGTCCCGGTAAAAGCATCCCCTCAACGTCTGCTCGCTCATTAACGTGACAAAAATGTTGTAATAAATTTGTCTTTTTCTTGCATGGGTCCACTTGTTTGTTCGATTCTCTATTTAGCAGGCTATGTACAGGGATATTTGATGAGGAATTTTTTTTTTTTTTTTTTTTTTACAGCTTCACCCTCTTTTTTTTCTCATTAGTACAAATCAGAATGAGTTAAGCATTTTTTCCCTTCCATGAATGACACGATTTTGTAAGGCGGTTTAATATTCCCCTTCCTCAGTGTTGCTCTCGTAGAAAAAAGACAAGCGCACTTGTGTGTGCATAGTGTTTGTTGCGAGTGCAAGGAGAGGACAGGCACCATCGAAGGGGCGCTCTCCAACAAAATGGCGTATCAAATGGCATACCTAGCGTTGCACAAAAATGCAAAATGGTGAAAATGTTACTTTTTCTCTGTGCGAAGGGGGGAAACTGCTTTTTTGCGCTTAAAAATGGCAGTTTTTCTTTTCCGTCAAAAATGGGTACACCCGAATGGGAAGTCATTAAGCGGGTACTACATTTGCAGGCAAAAAGCATTACAGGTTTTTCCCCCCAATGTAGCTATTTCTATAAAGCACCTCGTTTGGACCTTCCCCACTGCTTGCACTAGCATGTTTACTTTCGTTCCTCCTACATGCATTTACATGACCCCGTGGGTGCGGAGAGTCAACTCCATTCGGTGTGCATCTGTGGGTGGAGCAAAGGATAACATGCCGCGAAGATCATCACTGCATAAAAATGACACATGTTAAATGGATATCCCATCGAGGGGCCTCTCCCTCGGGGCCCAGTTAAGCTGTGCTACGTCTTTTTTAGTAGTTTGAAATGAATCCATATGACAAAAAAAAAAAAAAAAGGAGCATAAAATGGGCATATAAATGAGCATGCAAATGTGCACAAAAAAGGGTCACTATGGATCCTCCCCCTGACAATGAGAGGCGAACCCAGTGCACCGGTTTCCGCACACAAACCGGCTACTTGTTGATGGTGAAGAGGTAAGTAATATTCTTCTTAATTTCGTATTCGATGTCCTCGTGTGTATCCTCGTCAAAGACCTTCAAGACGTTCAATTTGTGCGCCAGAATGTTTGATTTGGCCTCAACAGAGAAGGGAAAGACGCTCTCAGGCTTAGACTGAATGGAAATTTCAATTTGGCAGTTCTGGTTGCTCTTCAGAGCATCTACCTTCCACGCCAGAAGAATTCCATCATGTTCGATAATGCCTTTGTCTTTGCTCATAATTTGTGGTTTACTAGACGAGGGGCACATTAAATTCACGTTCAAATCGTATATCACATCTTCTGGGTTTTTTCTTTTATTTTCAATTTCTAAATTTAGGAGAGTACTTTCATTGTCTTCACATGGCCAACAACTAATGTTAAGTGGTATGTACGAATCGTTGAGGTGATTTATTTTCCACTTGAGTAAAGGATAAGTTGTGTTTACCCGAAAATTCTTTCCCTTATCTTTCAACTCCAGCACATTAGAGTTATACTTACTTTTGTCCAATATGGGGTGTATCTTAGCTTTATCTGAATACTCGTTATCCAATTCTATAATAACTTTTGAATACTTGTGATTATTTATTTGCATATTAAAGGTTCCTTGAATGTCCAAATCGCAAAGGGTTCCTTCAGAGCTCAGAGTACATATAATATGTTCACTTATGACTATGTTGATGGGTTTATCAAATAGGGCGTTTACATTGATGTTTGGCTTGTTGAGCATTTTGTTACTGTCTACTACGTTTAGAATTTTCACTTGCTCTTTTTTGCCTGCTATTTGCATTCCTTTATATGAATTGAAGCTCTCATCAAGGATAATATCACTGTGCTGCTCCTCCGACTTGTATAGGAAATTGTCCATCATGTTGCTGTTGTAGCCCATGTTGCTGTTGTAGCCCATGTTGCTGTTGTACCCCATATTAGCGTTATAGCCCATATTGGCGTTATAACCCATATTGGTGTTATAACCCATGTTGGTGTTGAAATCCACATTTGTGATGATATCATTGGAGAGAAAACTGTTACTACCAGTTTTGCCCTGTTTTTGTCTATTCTTTTCCAACTTGGAAGCAATAAATTTCCTTCTCTCTTTTTCCTCCTTCTCTTTATTCTCCCTAATTATGGTCTGCAATTTCTCTTCATGTGATTCCATTTCTATATACGTTTTTATTTGATTCGTGTTTACTATTTCGCGCACTCCATTTTTTATCAACTCATCAATGTAGAATATGATAGTAAAGCATTTCTTCAAAATTGTACTTTCGTTGATGTTCCCCTGACATAGGTCCTGAATAATCTGACTAAGCACTTTAATTATTTCCAAGTCTTCTATTATGTTAGAATTTATATTCGTTATTAGGAAAATATAAATACTATCCAGCGGCTGGTACACATATCTTACTTTGTCCGTTTCTATATACGTGTGGTCGCTCCTCTCTCTTTCGATCAGATTATGAAACGGGATGGTTAGAGAGTCCAAGTCACATTTGCTGATGTTCTGAAATTGCCGCGAAACCAAAATCTTGCTCTTCGTGCTTATGGCGGCGCTCAACACAGTCATTTTCACCTACTGGGTTGTTCGACTAATCGGGTGACACTGCGATCAGCTATATATTACGCGATTACGCCAACCAGGTTTGTATAACTAACTGGACGGCCAAAAATACACACGTTTGCTTCAAGATAAAGAAAGGGATTCCTTTATGTCATTCAAGAAATGCCAATGTGGTTGCATGTAAGGCTATACCTAAACACATGCGAATGAATATCATTGACACGTGGGAGGAGCAATGATAAAATGTCCTCCCCTATGATGAGGGAAAAAAAACAAACAGCAAGATTAAAACGGTGTGCGAAGAAATGCTCACGTGCTTAACGCTGTTTTGGTCAAAGCAGCGTGAATAAAAAAAAACAGTACCTTTATGCTATCCCCTCCAAGAAAAGGGAACACTTAAAAATGCACATAGGTCAAAATACATACGTACGTCATCATAAACATACGGTCTGTGTTGCCCGTGCGATATGCAAATCCGGTGGGGCGGGAAATGGGGACCAAACTGAAACCAAGATGGTTGGCACATAAAAAGTAGTATGGTCAAATTCGACGGAAAAAAAAATAATGTATACTTCACTCCCACGATGAAAAGGTTACGTGTATTTTGTGGTTCCGGCAAGGGGAAATCGTAATCGCTAAAACTCAGAGCAAGCAACACGTTCGTGGTTCGCAAACATACCTAACTTGTGCGGTTAAAGGGAGACTGGTGTTTGCTCGCTTAATGTGCCATCCTTCTCGCGCCTGCCTAGCTTTTAATACAAGAACGGGAAGAAAAAAAAAAAAAAAAAAAA